AAAAAAAAAAATAAAAGTCCCTAGGGCAAGAGGTTTGGCATTTTATTTCTGAAAATTTGTCAGTGGAAGTCAGGTGGATCACAACAGTCCAATCCACAACCAAGACTAGGACTGACACAGGGCCAGACAGCATTTCATTCGATTGAACATGAAATCTACCTGACTAGGTGAAGATCAAAGGCAGCTTAACAACAACAGGGTAAGACCTTCATAATAGAGAAGGCTGGATGAGAAGTATGCAGGGAGTCTCTATTATCTTTGAAACATTCCTATAAATTTAAAATTATTCCAGAATAAAGAAAAAAAACAATTTTGGAGAAGGAAAGCTTGAATGGCAAGAAGGCCATTGTAATAGGAGCCAGGGAGAGGTGGGCATGAGCATGAGACTGGAAAAGAAGAAGGGCCCAACCCAGCTGGCTTCTGGTCTTTATCTTAAGAGCAGGAGAAGCCTTTGAAGGGCTTTGGGTAGGAGAGTAACATTAATGTGATTTGCATTTGAAAAGATTCAGTTTCTACATGGTGAGTGGATTGGAAGGAGTATTAGCAGAGGCAGAAAAAACTTAAACCATTGCTGTTCCAGATGAAGCATGGAGACAGAGAAACAATCGATTCAGGGTATTTTTTAGAGGAACCCAGGACTTGGTCACTGATCGTATCTGAGAGTATAGACCTGCTAGCTCTGGAAGATGGTGCTCAGGACTGTGACTTGAGTTCGTGATGGAGAACAAGACTTCTCACAGAGCTTCAGAACCCAGTGGAAGGAACATCTGGCTGCAGAAATGGTCCTAAGTGGGAAGCTTCCTAATCCAGGTGTCCTCCGAGCTGTCTGCCACCCCACCTGTGCAGTGTCACCCAAGCGTATTGCTTATGTTACTGTCACCTGAGCATGTCATCAGCGTAGCAGTTGCTTAAACACATCACCTGTGCTGCTATCAGATAAACAAGTCCTCTGCGCCTATCATCTACATGGTGGTTACCTGTGCGATTCACCTGTGTGTCAACCATGTCATTATTATTTTATTACATCACCTGGGTATAGCTGCTAGTTACATGTGTCCCCTGAGCCTGTTTCTTTATGACGCTGTCACCTGAGCATGTCACCTGCACACTTGTCACCTACACAAGTCAACTAAGCCAGTCATCTCCAAAACTGACATCTATGAGTGTCACCTAAACATGTCGCTCTGGGTTACTGTCACTTGGTAACTGTGCTGATGGAGAGGCTATTTTTTTCAGTCTGGTCGAGTTACAAAAACAGAAAACAGTTCCCTTGAGGGGAGACAGGTCCCCTGCTGTTCTTACAATCACCAGGCTTGCTTTTTCTTCTGAGAGGTTGAGTTGAGGGAGGCAGCCTCTTCTCCACTAAGTTTTCCTGATGAAAAGCACTCCATTCTCTCAGGCCTTTAGTGACAGTAGGTAGACCAGATGTCAACCTCTGTGTATTCTATGTACATGAAGGTGTTTGTTTATGCTAATGTGTGCTGGGTGGTGAGGAGGGAAAGGCTGGCTCAGCTCACAGAGAACTAACTGGGAGACCAGGTGGGGGTGGGGGGTGAGGCAGAGGGAGGGAGGGACAGTGACTCATAGGAAGGAGCTGGAAGACAAGGATGAGAGAGGGAAACAGCTGAGATGAGAAAAGGAAAGAGTGAATCTGAGGCTAAATTGCTCAGCAGAAGCAGATGGAAGAGAGAGATGAGCCTGGGCTGAGTAGAGAATGTGTCCAGGAGGGGATGAGAGTGAAGAAAGAGGCTGAAGGAACCTCCCTTCTCAGTGGGAGGCAAGACTGAGAACACATCAAGGTCTGAGCTCTCTCTGTCCCCCCACCAAAAGGGGCTGACTGTCAGCCATTGAGGTACTGCGGGGTAGGGTGCTTGACTGTTCATTAGGAGTTCTGTGAATCTGGGTGTTTTCCAAATGGAGTGTGCAAGTGGTTAAGATGCCGGTCTGCTAACAGGAAGACTAGGTGTTCTAGTCTTTGCCCAGGAACCTCAGAAGACACGCCTGGTGTTCTGCTTCCAAATAAATCAGTCACTGGAAGTATATGGGGCATGGTTCTACTCTGACACATGACTCAGAATGGACTCAAGGCAACTGTCTTTTTACTGGTTTTCTGTGAATTTTAGTTTCTTCTCCCAGTACATGAATTGAGAAACTTTTAAAAATCCAAACAGAGACTCCAGTTCCTCTAAGTTGTAACATAATGGGTTCGCCTTTGACCCCTACTTTACCCAGAGGGACTGGGACGTACTGGTGGGCTCACAGGTTTGCTGTAATCAAAAGCTCTCTCTTCTCTGTCCAGACATCGGAAACTCACTTGCAGGACCCGCCCCTCTCAACGGGGTAGCACAGGTTGAAGGAACAAGCAATGATACCTCCATCCCTTCGGGTGCCGCTGTCCTGATGATGTGCAAAGCCGGTGCAGGATAGCACTGTGGCTCAAACTCACTGTAGTTCCGTGAGGGGAGCTTGGGTGAGGGAATCTGTAGGGAGTTGCTAACCCAAAGTCTGGCTTTGCATCTCTGGAGGTTCAAATCTACAAGCACTCCTCAGGAAGAAAGATGGGTAATCTCTTCTCATTATGACTGACATCCTTGGAAACCCAATGCTTGGTGGCTGCAAGTTGCTGCCCACTGGACTGTGGTGCATGAATGAATGAGTGCTACGCTGTGAAGTATCAGTACTATTTTGTTTTGGTGTTGGGTTTTGTTTCTTTCTTTTAAATTAAAAGTCAGAGGCTTAGAGAGGGGACTTGCCAACTACAGGAGTGACATTTGAACTCGTTTCTCTCCAGCTGCACACCAGGACTTTCACTGTGTTGTGTGACACTGAGTTTTGATCCTGACTCCTACCAACCCTGTAGCACAGTCCCATGGATTCCCAAAGCCTGCAGTTTTCTAGGAAGCAGATCATCAAGTCTTTTCCCCCACAGACCAGCCAGTGGCTTCAAACAGCTGACCTTTCAGTTAGTAGCCAAGCACCTAACCACTGTTCTACCAGCTCTCCTTCTTCTCACTACACCATGGGGGGGGGGAGGGGGGAACTACCCTGTGAACATTTTCATGGGAAAAGGGAACAAACATGTAAGCTCATTTTCTCATGGTCAGCCCCAGGATGTTCTGTGGAAGGAGAACAGAAGTTGCCATCTTGCCTGTGGGCCAACTCTAATATATTAACTATGTTTGTACAATCTACATTAAAATTTCTCCCCCAGGGAGCTCTGGTGGCCTAGTGGCAGGAAGCTGCACTGCAATCCCAGAGGTGTGTGGTTCAAATCCACCAGATGCTCAGCTGAAGAAGGAGGTTCAATCTCCACCAGTACCAGTCAGATCTGATTTGACGGTACACACACAAAGATAATAATTAATAATTAATAAATAAATAATGTGTTTATTAAAAATGTCTCCCCCTTTATTTACATTTTAAAGTAGCTGAAAAAAATTAAACAAGAACATTTCATGGCACATGAAATTTATATGATATGAAATTTCAATGTCCATAAATGAAGTTTTATCGGGATGCTGTTCTAGTGATCTGCGTATGCAATATGCGGCTGCTTCCATGCTCATGGTATAAATAGTTGTGACAGAGACCATGTGGCCTGAAAAGTCTAAAATGTTGACTATCTAGCACTTGACGAAGGAGCTCTGAAGGTATACTGGGTTACCTGTTGCCCTGCTAACCAAAAGGTCACCAGTTCAAGTCCAATCGTTTCTCCATGAGAGGCTGGGAAGCCTTCTCCTACTCAGATTCATTGGCTCGAAAACTCAATTGGAGGGATCACTTTAAGTTGGAATTGATGATTAGGGTGGCCTTTTAGAGGAAAAGTCTAGAAGAAGGGAAGGAGTCCTTTCCTCTCCTTACAGTCCCTTCTCTGAGAAACTCTCCTTCTCCCTCGGGTAAAGGCAACGGCTCCCTGCTCTGATAAAAACGAACAAAAAACAAACGAGCTGCTTTCAAAGGATTTCCGCTTACGGCAGCCCTTTGTGTGTCAGAGTACAGCTGTGCTCCGTGGGGTGACCGTGGCTGATATTTTGAAAGGGGATCAGCAGGCCTTTCTTCGAGGTGTGTCTGGGTAGGCCCAAACCTCCAATGCCTTTATCAGTACGTGTGGGAAGGATCTGCGCCACCGAGGGATGCCATGCTCTCCTATTGACTGGTTTTCCCATGCCAGTTTAGGGAACTGATCAATCTGTCTGTCTACTGGAATGTGAACTTATTTTGGAAGGCAGGAATTTCGGCATATTTCTTCATTATCTCTAGGGTTAGGCATAAGTGGCAGCACACAGTGTGGAAGAATTAACATCCTGACTCTTCCTGGCTGTATCGGAGTGTGTGGGACAGTCATGTCTCCTTGCTTTCCCCTTTAGTTTCCTTGCCTATGATAAGGACACAGTGATGCCTCTTTAAAGAGGGGTCATGAGGAGTGAGGTGTTGCACTGGGTGACAGTGTTGAGCCAGGGCTACATGCCAGACGTCATGGTAAGTGCCTGACCCTTCAGCCTGGTCATTGTCACAGCACCCTAGAAGAGGGCACCATTGTCCCCCCTAGTTCATGGAGCTCTGGCAGCTGAATGGTAAAGAGTTGTGCTGCCAACCAAAAGGCAGGCAGTTCGAATCCACCAACTGCTCTGAGGGAGAAAGATGGAATATCCCCGAGCATCAGCCAAGTTGCTTCTGATCCGAGGGCACACACACACACAACAAGGCTGAAGGCCATGCCCAGGCCTAACGCCAGCAGAGGTTCAACTCTGAGCACAGAGCCCATGCCTCTACCTGCTGCAATTCTGAGTGCAGTACTTGACACTCAATAAACACGCTCCTCTCCTCCCAGAAAACACATGGAGTCAACTGCGGTAAGCACTTGGTGAGCATAAACTGAGTCAGAGGAGACTCTGGGGTCAGTTTCCTGAACGCTGCCTCCTTTCAACCCTAGAATGATGGCTTCCTCCTACTTCCTTTCCCCAGGCTGCCAGAAGTCCGGATTTCAGACAATGGTCCCTACGAGTGCCACGTGGGTATCTATGACCGAGCCACAAGAGAAAAGGTGGTCCTGGCCTCAGGCAACATATTCCTCAACGTCATGGGTGAGTGCAAGCTCTGTGTGTGTGCATGCGTACGTATGTATTGGTATATGTGTGCATGCATGCATCTCTGTGTGTGTCTGTGTGTGTGTGTGTGTCTGTGTCTGCATCTCTGTGTGTGTCTGTGTGTGTGTGTGTGTCTGTGTCTGCATCTCTGTGTGTGTCTGTGTGGACATTTGAGTTACAGGGTCTGTCTTAGAAACACCCACCAACATGCCTGTTATGTTGTTGGGCTCTCTTCTCCTTCCCCACATGTGGGTTTAAGGGACAAGGAAGCAAGCCCATGCCAGGCTGTGGCCAGTGTGGCCTGGCTACCCCAGTGTTTCCCTGGTGGACACCTTTCCCGTGAGCACTGACCTCTTGGCATCAGGGGCTGAGCCTTTGTCCCTGGAAGGACTTAAGGACATTGAGGAGAATGAATGGTAAATGGAGGGGTGAGAGCTGCCTCAGCCCTGGGCCACAGTGGCTGCTTCTATAAAAGAGAATGGGATAGAGACTTAGCTGGCCATTCATCAGCCGTCCAGGTTCAGGTTCTGTAACCAAGTGCGGCACAAGCATGGGCTGTACTGGGCAGTTTTGGGGGGTTGGGTAAGCGTCTTCCCAGCTGGAGCCCCACACCAGGGTTACATAAACACCAGTGGGAGAGGAAAGGACAGAGAAGTGGATAGGAGGAAGGATGACCCAGTTATGAGTGCTGCTGGGAGTGGGAGAGGGAATTTTGGTGGGGTGCATACCTCAGCTAGGTGTGTCCTCCTTGCATGTCCTGGGACTGGCCAGGGTATAGAAAGGCTAGGAGATGAGCTGGGGAGTGCACTGGGCTGGATGTCAGGGCTCCTGGCTCTGTCTGTGGTTAGCTGTGTCCATGGGCAAGTGAACCCCTACCCAGCCTCTGTTTCCCCATTTTGAAAAGCAAGTTTACTGCCCCACATGGTCTCTGAAGCCTCTGCCATCTCTGCCTGCCATTCTTTGCAGGCTTGCTCTCTGATTCAAGTGCAGATCTGATGTCCAAAGTTGGGGGGACTTGGTTTTGACTCGGGGCTCTGCTTTTATTAGCAAATGATATTTACCAGGGAAATGAGGCTTGCCATCCTGAGGCAATCAATGAAGACTGAAAGGCTCGGTTGCAAGTCGCTGCTTCTGGGGAAATTGAAAACCTCCAAAGGCCAGGCCTCCGGAGGATCATCGATTATTACAGCTGCAGTATGTGGTGCATCCTGGCTTCCTGGTGCAGCCATGACCCAGGCAGCAGCAGAGGCTGTATTGGGAATGGGACAGGACGGCAGGAAGTACCTTGGCCAGCTTAATCTACTCTGCTGGAGTTACTCACTCCCTGATCAACTGGCCCCCTAACTTAATAAACAAGGATGCAGGATGCATCCTTGGTGCCTAGGGGCGGGGGTACTGATTACACCACGGAACCCAACAAAGAACTGGTGCTTCCATCTGGGGAGAGGAAGAGCCAGCTCTCACTCATTTATTGCTCAGATATGGACTGAGCACCTACCATGTGACTCACATCCTCTGGGCATATTGTCAGGAGGACCCCGTCCCTGGAAAAGGACGATCAGGAGAAAAGAGGAAGAAACACAGTGAGATGGATTAAGACAGTGACCGCAACAGTGGGCTTGAGCACATCCAAGATTTGGGGGTGATCCAGGATAGGGCAAGATTCAGATCAGTGGTTCTATAAAACAGAGCTGACTGAATGGCAGCTAACAAACAATGAAACACATACTGTGCCAGTTAGTGGACGCAGTTGAACAGAACGAAGTCATTTGTCCTCTGGGGGTTGACGCTGCAGTGTGTGAGGCAGACATGAGGTACATGTACAGACCAAGCAACAGGATGATTACGGCACCAGGAAAGGAGTTGTCAGCAATTGTAACAATGGCATAGCTCGTCACGCTTACTTGATTGGTCCCAATCCTAGAGTGCCTCCCCCTCCAGAATGTTACCTATCCTCACAACAATCCCACAAAGGCAGTCTTACTGTTACCCTCAGTTCACAGGTGAGGCCACTGAGGCCCAGGGAAGGGAAAGGGATCCCTGGGTTGCCACAAGCTGTGGTTGTTCCTGCCCCTGGCGGCATGAATCCCATGACTTGCCTAAGTCCAGAACTGGGGAGATGGGGTAAGGTTTGATGTGGGAAAGCCAGTAAAGAACCTCACTTAATCTATCCTGTAAGGTATTTCCCATAGATGATGATCTTATCCATTGACCATATTGGCCTGAGAGACCGCATTGCTATGTGCCCATTGCATAGATGAGACACAGAGGCTCAAAGTGTGAAGTGCCAAGATCAGGGGAGTTAAATGAGAGAGTTTATTTTACAATAGACTGCTGGTCATCCACTTCCTGGCTCATTCAGAATGCTTAATTGCTAATACTTCTAAGGACAAATACTAATCCTATCAATGAAATTTGGGCCCAATGAAAAATAAGGTATCAAAAAGGTACTGACTCTCTTTCCTCATCAATGCATCTCTGTGACCTTCTCCTTCAAATATATTTCAGGGTCTCAAAAAATAATGTACTTATGCTATTGGCATCTTAGAACATTTCACAGACCCTTTCTTATTGATAAACAAACATGTGCAAAGACGCTTCCTTTCAGAGAGCAGCCATTGAAGGCTGGTTGGGGGCTCCTTTGTGCCAGAAAGGCTAAGGATGTTGGTAGCCAACAGTTGGTCAAGACAGGCTCCCGTTTGGGGATCAGGGACGCTCCCTGGGACAGCAGGAGGGAGGAGAGGCGAGGCACGGGCATAGGCAGGACCTCACCTGTGTGCTGCTCGCTCAGGGTCTGCGTCTTTGCATCTGCAGCTCTGCGCGCTCCAACTCCACTGATTCCAGAGGCCTCCGGTGAAGATCAAAATGCAAGAGCGGCTGTAATTTCACGCCTATAACATCCCGCTATGTGTTGGGAAAGGCATTTGGGAGCCCCGTGGGTGACACTGAGGGTGTGTGCTGCACACAGTCATTAAAATGTTTTTATTCGAGCTTCAGATAAATTGTAAGCCAATTTGAAAGTTGCGTGCTGGGCCCTGGGAACGCATTATACACCGTCACGGGAGGACGGGAGGGTGCAGGTTATCTGGGCGTGGGGGAGCATGTTAAGGGTTCAATGTTACAATCAATTAAATGTTCTGAGGCCCAGACACCCCTCAAGCCTGCCTCCTGCCACTGCTAACCAAAGATGCTGCTTTTCTCCATCTCTCAGAATGCCAACATGCAGGGTTTCAGATGGCAACTCTGCCTTGGAACCCACTGGTACCACCCAGGTGCTGATGATCAAGGTCAAACTTCATTAAGTCCATGCTTCGTGCCAGGCACTGTGCACAGTGCACAATCCACCAGTAACCACGGGATCCTTACAGAGCCCTCGGAGCTAGGAGTCATCATTCCCATTTTCACATATGATGAAACTGAAATTCTTGAAGGCTAAAGAATTTATCCCTGTGGGTGACACAGGGGATTCCCACCCTGCTGTGCTAATCTCAAAGGTGATACTCCTTCAGCAGCCCAAAGGAATCTTCCCTGCCTTTGACACAAAGGCTGCTAGTAAGACAGATGTCATTTGAAGACTGGGGGCTAACAGAGCTGAGCACACACAGACTTCATTAAGCCTGAGCACTAACTAGGACTAGAAGCCCTGCACTAATGCACTTGGCCACAAATGGAAAGATTGGAGGTTTGAGTCCACCCAGAAGTGGCTCAAAAGAAATGCTTGGCAATCCACTTCTTAAAAAGTAACCATTGAAAATCTTACAGAGCACAGATCTATTCTGACGTAAATGAATTGGAATAAATTCATTGCCAAAGTAGTTAGTAGATATGAATTATATTATTGTGGCTTTAATTTGCACCTGCATAATGGCTTATAATGTTAGTTAGATCTATTTTTTTTGGTGTGAATATATTGGTCATTTTAGGGAGCTCTGGTGACCTAGTGATAAGGCATTACGCTACCATCCCAAAGGTAGATGGGTTCAAATGCACCACCAGCTGCTCTGTGAAAGAAACATGAGCTTTCTATATTTTATTCTCATGGTATATTTATAGCTCCTGAAAATTTGATGGAGGGTAAACTATGAGTCAGTAAAAGCAACATTTTGGCCACTTGTATATCTTCTTTGCAGAAATTTCTGTTCAAATCCTTTGTACTTTTAATTAGCTAATTTGCCTTTGTATTATTAAATTATAAGAGTTCTTCAGACTCTTTTTAGAAGTACAATTTGCCTATATTTTCTCCCGTCTTGTGGGTTCTCTTTTTACTTTCTTGATGTTGTCCTTTGAAGCACAAAACTTTGAATTTTTATAAAGTTCCATTTATCTCTTCTCCTCTGTCATTTGTGTCTTTGGTGGCATATCAAAGACTTTCCTACCCCATGGTCACAAAGATTTACTCCCAGAGTCTCTTCTAAGAGCTGTAGAGTTTTAGCTTATAGTTCTTCTACTTTGATCTGTGATTTATTAAATTACTTTAAAAAAAAATGGTGTGAGGTAGGGATTCCACTTAATTACTTTGTCCTGTTGTTGTCATGCGTGTTGGTGATTGTTGTTACATTATAGTTTGCCATAGCTGACTCTCCAGCAGGTGTCAGAGGCTGTAAACCACATGGGAGGAGACTTCCCATCTTTCTTCTGTGGAACAGCTAGTGGATTCAAACCATTTTTCTTTGGGTTGGCAGCACAGCTCCATGTTCATCAATCACCAGAGATCCCTAAGGATAGCCAATTGTTACAGAATCATTTTTTCAAATACTGACTTCTTTCCCCATCAGATTGTCCTGATGTCCTTGTTGAAAACCAATTGCCTCCAACTGTAAAAGTTTATTTCTGAGCTATCAGTTCTATTCCTTGATCTATATATATGTCAGTCCTACTTCATATCAAGTATTTTTAAAAACCATATAATCACTCTCCATCTGGCTTGTTTGCTCCTCAGCTATAAGGTGATGAATTTCTAAGAAATTCTCCTGTGACCAGTGTCCTAGGGTTTCCTA